TTAGAGACTCAGCAGGCTGCTCGGCAGCGCTAACAGCTGGCCAAGCTTACATCCAATCAAGGGTGAGATATGGTGTCATTTTTTGGGGTAGTGTCTCGGAGTCGCAAAGAATTCTGAAGCTTCAGAAAAGGTGCTTAAGGACAATTTATCAAAGAAGAAGTACGGAAAGTTGTAAAAATCTTTTTATTGAGAGTAGTGTGCAAACAATTTTTAATATCTACATCTTAGAGTGCATAAAATTTGTTTCAGAAAACCCAGATATTTTTGACCAATTAAAAGCAGACCACCCCCATGATACTAGGTTTAAAGAAAACTTAAAAACAGAAACCGCTCAGTACTCATACATTGCAAAGAACGTTAAGCATAGCATTCTGAGGGTCTGGAATGCTATTCCCATTTCATTTCGAAGGCAACCGCCACAGAATATCAAAAGAGAAATTAAAACATTCCTAAACTCAAAAGCTTACTACAGTCTGGATGAGTTTTTCACTGATCCACAAATTGACAACTTGGTAAAGTAAAATTTCCTAATATCAAAACACACAAGCAATCATTATCAAACTAACACAGACAAATGGCATAGATGGGGACGCACACTTGGTCCTTTCTGTGCAGGCACTCGAGGGCTCAGGACAACTGAAAATTGCAAGAGCAATATTTGATTTATGTGTTCCTTATTGTATTATGTAAATTTTTAAGATTTTTGTGACTATTTATATTTTTATATTTTATATTTTGTGTTTGTATGTTTGAAATTATTATTGTTATATGTAATAGTATATGTAATAATCTTTGTTATTTATGACATGATCAACACCCTAGAGGTAAAAATGTAGAAAACATGTGATACGCAGTATACTGTGAATTGTATTTGTCTTTTTTACATGATCGAATAAAGAATCTATCTATCTATCTATCTGTATCTGTATCTATATTAGTAAAACTGTGCCAATCTTCAAAAGTGGAGACAAAACATCACCATCAAATTACAGACCAATTTCTTTGATCCCCGTCTTCTCCAAGATCCTTGAGGTTCTCTTGAAGGACCAACTCTACATGTACTTTGAGGGAAACCACTTATTCATAGAAGAGCAGTTTGGGTTTAGAAGGGGCAGAACCACCACTGGGGCAATACTAAAGCTCTGTGATTTCATAGTTGAGGGCTTTGAGGAGGGGCAGATTGTGTCCACCACCTTCTGTGACCTCTCCAAAGCCTTCGACTGTGTATCACATGATATCCTTATAGAAAAATTAAAATACTACAGGCTCTGTGAATTCAGCGTGAATTTGATATTTGGGTACCTCTCGGGACGAAGGCAGATCACGGAGTTGGAGGGTAGGCGCTCAGAGGAGAGAGTCATGAGGCACGGTGTGGTTCAGGGATCGGTACTGGGCCCACTGTTGTTCCTTATATACATAAATGACCTTGCAGCTGCCCTGTCCGGATGCCAGGTTGTTATCTACGCGGACGATAATGGACTCTCCATAAAAGCCAAAACACTGGATGTTGCCAAAATGGAGATGACGAGACATGTCGAAACTGCTGTTGACTGGTTCAACTCCAATCTTCTGAATGTCAACCAAAGTAAAACAGAAAACATAATCTTTTCTCTCAAGAAAACTACAATTCAAGACAACCCAGGAAAAATCAAATTTTTAGGAGTTACATTGGATGCGAAGCTGACTTTCGAGCAGCATGTCAACATTATTTCAAAAAAACTTTGCTCCGCAATCTATGTTCTTCGTAATATATCGAAAATTGTAGATAAAGAAACATCAAAAATGGCATATTATGGTCTATTTCATTCAGTGAGCGTCTATGGACTCCTAGCATGGGGACACTCATGTCATACCTCTCGCATCTTTGGCCTGCAGAGAAGAGCAGTTAGAATTGTAGCTGGCATCAAATACCGAGATGATGTCAAACCATCCTTTAGGGACCTAAAAATATTAACTCTTCCAGCACAATATATCCTAGAGTCTCTACTATATTTTCATAGTAACTCTTCAAACTACACTCGTGCCGAAGAGGTCCATAATTACAACACTCGCCAACGTTATAACGTGCAGATTGACTTTTCACGCTTAAAAACCTCCTGGAGCGCAACGCGATATTATGCACCGGCATTTTTCAACAAACTGCCTCATACGATACGAAACATTCCAATAAAGCCATTTAAAAATAAAATCAAGCAATTCTTGTTAAGTAAGTGCTTTTATTCAATAGAAGAATTTTTGCAATATCAGGTCACAGATTTGGATTTTTAACTTGTTTTGAATAGTCTTAACCGTTCATAGTTACTTAGTACTGTCCTTTTATAATGTTTAAAATTTTTTATACAGATGTGATATACCCATTAAGTGATATAGTATTTTATTAATTGTAATTGTAATTGATTGTAACCTAGTTTTAAGATTTTGATAACCAGAGATGTAAAAAAACGGTTTTTTTTCAGATTTGAAAAAAAACATTCAAAAAAAACCAGAAAAAAAACGGTTTTTTTTTGTTTTTTTTCTAAATGATTCAAATGTAAAAAAGCAGGTTTTTTTCAGATTTGAAAAAAAAAACATGAAAAAAAACTAGAAAAAACAAGTTTTTTTTTTTTTCAAAATAATTCAATTTTAAACTTCGTGAGTATCTCCAACCTCATCTTTAAGTAAAAAAAAAACGGACATTTGATGACCCTGGATACGTAGTTACAGTCTGAAAATTCTTCATACAGCGAAAGTGTCTTATATCAGAGTGATGTTCTGTTCTAGTATGTATGATGTATGAATATGATGAATGTATGATCTGATATAATATGATAGTTCATACATGGATGTACCATGTACTTGACCTGAAAACATGTTTCATTTACATAAGAATAGGTCTGTTTCTGCAGAAATCACAAACCAGTCAGACTGAATTTCATTGGTTGAAACTAGTTTTCTGACTGTTTCTACTGTTTTCAACCAATGAAATTCGCTCTGACTGGTTTGTGATTTCTGCAGAAACAGACCCAATATTGTTCCTATGTTAGACAATATTTTACGTTTTATCCATATTTCACTGCTTAAACCAATTTTTTGTCCCAAGAAAAGTTTAATTGGCAAAAAAAGTAAAAACTGCGCATATGGTGCTAAGTTTAGAAAAAAAACACAAAATCTGAAAAAAAAAACCATTTGAAAAAAAACCATGAAAAAAAACTTGAAAAAAAACAAAAAAAACGGATTGTTTTTTTTCACGTTACATCTCTATTGATAACGCTATGAAACTCTGTTTTAAGTCTGAAATATATACAACTTATCTATCTATCTATCAAAACACTCCACTGCGCGCCGCGTTAGCGGCGAGGTAGTAACATTCCGAGGGAATAATAGCCATTATTGCGAGAAGTATACTCTACTTTATTTACGAGAAATTAATTTATTTGAGATTTTTAATGAACAAATTTTATCCATCTCAATTCTCAATACAAATCCACAAGCACTACACGGTTGACACTGACACTTTTGAGGGATAATGACCATTAATCCCTCTACTCGTCATTATTCCCTGGCGGAATAACATATGTCATTATATACTGCCAAAATCACAAGTATAATACCTACTTTATTTACGACTAATGTATAATGTGCGTATTATATTTGTGATTTTGGCAGTATAATGACATATGTTATTCCTCCAGGGATTAATGACGAGTAGCGGGATTAATGGTCATTATTCCATAAAAGTGCCAGTGTCAAACGTGTAGTGCTTGTGGATTTGTATTGAAAATTATGAGACGGATGAAATTTGTTCATTGAAAATCTCAAATAAATTAATTTGTCGTAAATAAAGTAGAGTATACTACTCGCAATAATGGCTATTATTCCCTTGGAATGTTACTCCCTCGCCGCTAACGCGGCTCAGTTCGTAATAATCCTCGGGAATAATAGCTATCATTATTGACTCGTGGTATAATCTACTATTATACATTAGTCGTAAATAATAGTAGATTATACCACGAGTCAATAATGATAGCTATTATTCCCGAGGATTATTACGAATTGAGCCGCGTTAGCGGCGAGGGAGTAACATTCCGAGGGAATAATAGCCATTATTGCAAGTAGTATACTCTACTTTATTTACGACAAATTAATTTATTTAAGATTTTCAATGAACAAATTTCATCCGTCTCAAAATTTTCAATACAAATCCACAAACACTACACGTTTGACACTGACACTTGTGGAATAATGACCATTAATCCCGCTACTCTTCATTAATCCCTGGAGGAATAACATATGTCATTATACTGCCAAAATCACAAATATAATACGCACATTATACATTAGTCGTAAATAAATAGTATTTTTTATTCTGATTCCTAGCTCTGCTCGCTGAATCTCAAAGAGATGATCCTTGGAAACGTGATTCCACCGAAAACGTAGAAAACCTTTTTTTATCTAATAATGTAGCCCTTCTTGAAATTTAAATTATTTTCAGAAAAGGATTGCTCGCTCTGCTCGCGGAATATCAAAGGGAAGATCGTTGGCAGCGTAAATCCACTAGAAACATTAAAAACGTTTTTCACGTGCAGCACTTTCTTGAAATTCAAAATATTTTTGGGTCTAGTTGTTCCCTCCACTCGCCAAATCTCAAACAGAAACTCTTTGGAAACGGGAATGGACCAAAACGGAATAATTATTTAGCCATCCTATTAAAACTTTGCACCTTAACATAGCACAACTTTAATTTAGAGATATTTCTTAAAACCTAATAAATAATCGGGAAATGTTTATATTGAAATCGGTCTAACTTCAATGTTGAGAATGCAGCTTATGAGAAACTATGTGTTGCACTAAAGTGTTCACCATTCAACACCTAGTGACCCAACCCTGAAATAAAAAAGTCACCTAACTCATTTGTCTGTTTATTTAAGCTATTAGGTATTAATTTACTACGTGAATATGGGTTTATTTTATATACATCATATTTTTATTTAATTTAACTTAATTTCACTTTTTTTTCTAAGGATTGGGGCAATGAGAAGCTATACCGTACCCAAAAACAAGTCGAGAAGAACCCCTACGATCTTGAAGCATGGTCTATTCTACTCAGAGAGGCTCAAAGCAAGCATATTTCAGAAGTACGAGCTCTTTATGAGCACTTGATTACTATTTTTCCAAGTGCGTCCAGATATTGGAGGATTTATATTGAACATGAGGTAACAATCTGAGAATCTTGTTTTTGATTATTATTGTATGAGTTGAAATGTATTCTAGATTATATTACTCAACAAATCTATGTTTATTTTATTCCAGATCAAAGCCAGAAATTTTGAGAGAGTGGAAAAGGTAAAACTATTGAGATTATATTTAGCAATTTTGCTTCAAAATTCTCAAATAAATAAGTTTGAAATGAATGTTTTTAATAAATTTCAATTTTGTTCAAACAAATCTTTCATTAACTATTCTACAAATGTGTTAAGAAATCGGGAGGAAATTTTTCTAATCATGCATTTTATCAAAGTCTTTTTATTTACATTAGTACTTAATGTTAGAAAATTGATCTCATTTATTTCGATCTTTGCATTGATCTTGAAAGATTTCTTTCTGGTTTAAATCCCCAAGCAAACATTCAGGTACCAATTTGTATTGGACTGAAGAAACATTTTCCAATAAAACATAAAAGTATTGCAGACTTTTTTTACTCATTTAACAAATGTTCACAAATAGTATTAAATTATTATTGAATTATGGGTTTTCGCACTTTTTTTTAGAAAATAATTGATAATATATTATTATTTAAATAGATTGATTACTTTTTTGCATATTTTTGCAATTTTGTTTCATAATATGATATACCCTCACAATAAATATGTTTAACAAAATTATTTTGCTTTATGCTATTACACAAAATAACTAACCAACAAGAACAATTTTTTTCTACAGAAACACTTGCTTTTCCCTGAAGTTTGACTTCTTGTTGCTATTGTGTTTTTTTTTCTACATTAGCTGGACTTCTCTAGAAACAAAGTTAACAAAAAAATGGACTTGGACAAAGATAATACTTTTATAATAAAATAGCAAAACCTAAGTAATTTGAGAGAATTTGCTCTAGGTAATAAAAGTAAGATTTTTATGATAAAAATTCAAGATCCCTTATATAAAGTAAAAATGTTGACCAATATGTATTTTTCATTATTCTATTTTAATAAAAAACCAGATGGTAACAATATTAAACTAAGCAGAAATGAGGGTCAGCAATCTCTGTCTAGAAAGGGATCGGAAACGTTTTAAAGAATTCGAAGGAAATGAAACTTCCATGTAACTGATTTCTGCCCTTCTACTCTAGAAGGTTTTCTTGTAAAATGGATTTCTAAAACGTGCCAACAAACTTTGAGAATTTCTTCTTGACAAAACATGTAAATACACTAATCTCTTATATTACAAAAACATATTTGCAATGACATAGTTGGTCTTTAATTCAATAATCTATTTAAACAACAGTATTTTTACCCAAAAAAGAAAATGCAAAAACACCATCTAGTGTCTAGTCTATAGAAAACTGTTATGCCTTTTATTATCAAAACAAAATTATTTCATCAGCTGTTCCAAAGATGTCTTATACGGATTTTGAACATTGAATTGTGGAAGTTGTATTTGACCTACGTAAAAGAGACTAAAGCGTCTTTGCCGTCTTACAAGTAAGTATTTTTATCCTAAATTTTTAGTTTTTTTTTTTTTCGTATAAGTAATTACAGGGGAGCTCCCCTGATCTTGATCTGGATTAGTTGAAATTTAATTATTGAACCTCTTTAAAATTTACGAATATGTAATTAAGTGAGAGCACATTTGAAGGAATACATAGTTTGGAAATTTTCAAATAAAATAAGATATTTCTTCTTGTAATGTTTTTGTTTCTGCTAGAATGTCGTCGATATAGATTAAAACTTTATTTCCTTCCATAAGATTCAGAAAAATAGTATGAATGTTTCATAAAAACAGAGAAGTAAGTCTGAAAGGAATTTGAAAAAAAAAATCATACTGCGAAAAAGTGGTCAAAAATAGGGTATTTTCAATTGAAGATTCCTCTATACTACCTAAAGAGCACTTTTCAAATCAAAAGTCTTCGGCCATTTTGGCTGTATCCTATGAAACCCTGTACAAACAGAAGGGGGTGATTCTTTGGTTTATTTTATTACTGAAGTTTCTAATAAACATAGGTCCGCAAACTCTTCGTTACCGATCTACAGGGTAGTGAAATTTAAATATATTTTTAGCTTTTTCTTAATAGCTCTTGCAATTTTTGAGGGATTAGCTCAAATTTGAAATATAGGTTACACAACAGGAGCTAAATGATTGCACATGTCAAACGTTGGGCAGAATCTTCAGGGTGATGTTTTTTTCAGGGGTCATGTTCCCTTTTCTCCCCCTGAACTTTTTTGCAGTTTGCCGCGTTTGAGTCTAAAAAGCAAAATAATTTTATGTCATACCAATACATTATTGTGGTTTTATACCTTAGATACCGTCTACATAATTCATCACTTTATGCCCGTGCGGGCATAAAGTATAGTCTGGCTAGCCAAACGGCGAACTCCAAAAGAATTTGCTGTTTTGCCAAACTTGACGGAAACAATGATAAACAAGTTAGTGACATATTTTTTTTACTGTATGGGCATGTGTAGTATTTCGTAATAAAAAAAAATCCGGCAACATTGCGAAATGATGGATGTGGAGAGGCGTGATTATTCAGAGGCATGATTCTATTGGTTAGATTCTGAACGACAGCACGCAGTGGCGTGGTTATTGGCGAAACTAGATAATTTTTTTCCTAATAATTTTATTGGTTTATTTCCTTGGTGTTTCCGGTGCCACTGAACCGAAAGACATGGCTGTCATCAGGCGGTGTCAGTGGATATTTTTAGGTTACGCCCCAGTTTTCTTCCCCCTTTCGTCTCTACCAACTTACCACTTGCCAAACTATACACATTATGGCCCGCGCAGGCATAAAGACGCCAAAAACAGTTTTCGATTAACTTATTCTTTATTAACAAAATATAAATTTACACTTATAATTATATTATTTTTGTCAAAAAATGATGATGTTTGCACACTGATGACAATTTGCGAAGTGACACTTTTTTCCCAGGTATTTATTATTCACAACCAACTGGTATGACATAAAAGTTTGTATGCACCACGGGTACTAATAGATATATACCCTCGGGCGACATACGAAACCCTCGGGCCAGAGGCCCTCGGCTTTGTAAGGCTGTCGCCCTCAGGGCATAATGATCTACTACTTGATACATAAATAACTATTTCTACCTTATTCAGAAACTTTTTGTTCTCCTGTAGTTTTTTTGAATCACCAACCCTTATCGAGAAAAAAAAACAGATATCTGTAATAGGGAACTTGCAAGTGAACTAAAATTTTCCAAAGGACCCTGCACTCTGCACACCTCTTATGGGTTTTTGATTTTCTGTTAAACTCAATGAAATTTTGGTATGTGGTATATCTTGACTTCCTGATAAAAAGTTCTCATAGGCCCAACCCGAACCTATGAATAGTTTTCGAGATACAGGTAGTTTGATGTCCAAGCATTGAGGTAGTGTCCAAGAAATGTACACATTTTATATGCATTTACATCTACCTGTCACCTGAGCGTGTGGATACCTGTCAATCCTGGTATATTATTAGGTGACAGTTAGATGTGAATACATATTAAAAGTCACTGTAATTAAAAGATATGCTGTGTTAAAAGTGTACATTTCTTGAAAATCGAACAACCTGTATCTCGAAAACCATCCATAGTATCGGGTTGAGCCTATGAGAACTTTTTATCAGGAAATCAAGATATACCACACATCAAAATTTCATTTAGTTAGGCAGAAAACCAAAACCCCATAAGAAGTGTGCGGGGTCCGTTGTTTTAAATCGATAGTTTATACTGCACAATATTTATATGACCAGTTTTTTAACTTATTATACCGCCCTTGTTACACAAAAAAATAATACTAAAGAAGGAGGCACGATTTACATTGAAAATAGGCCCCCGTAAATTTCAACCAAATTTCAATATTTTAAAGGTATCATCATTGCAAAAGAAAATTTGAAATATAAAGAGGATCGTATGTCTGTGATAGCAGATATAGCTTATCAAAGTACGTAGATCCTGCAATGGTATGCATAGGAAATATCCCTACGTAGATTTTCTTGAATATCTCGAAAAATACTGATCCGATTTTGACGTTTTTGGGGTTTGATACCTACAAAAGGACCCCAAAACCGTCAAAACTGGATTAGTATTTTTCGAAATATTCAAGAAAATCTACGTAAGGATATTTCCTCGGATATTTCCTATGCATAGCATAGCAGGACCTACGTACTTTGACAAGCTATATCTGTTATCACAGACATACGATCCTCTTTACATTTCAAATTTTCTTTTGCAATGATGATATCTTTAAAATATTGAAATTAGGTTAAAATTTACGGGGGCCTATTTTCAATGTAAATCGTGCCTCCTTCTTTGAAATAAAAAATTTCCCGCCAAAACAATGCTTCCATGATGGCTACCTTTTATGACGTCACGGATCTGTAAACAAAGCTGTCAATAGGGAACTAGTAAGTAAAAAAAAATACAAAAGCAGTCCTTTACAATATTCTTCATCCATGGCTACAATTTTCACAAAACGCAAACTTTAACATACTTGAATAACATAAAAATATAAAAAATAGCACTACGTCAGCAAGAGTTCGTTTGCTGCGTTTGTTGTTTACAAAATCTTGATGTCACGAGCGCTGTCATATTGAGATTTCGTGTTTTCGCGCCAAAGTTTTTGATTTGAATTTCAATAAAAATTTGTTCCAACAACGTATATAAATTAAAATAGAAAAAAATGAAAACTATGTAATATCTAATCACTAGAAGTATCTAAAAAAAAATAATTTGAGAAATATGAAAATTCCCTATTAGCTAGATGGAACTGCAGCGACTCAATGGACCATAAACCTGATTATCAGCCTCGTTTTTGGTAATCGCCGCCATATTGGTGTATCACCATTTCCGACGTCATAACTAAGTCGCTGTTTGAAAAGCCTACGTCAAGGCGAGAAATAACATGCTGGCTACGTCACAACTGGTGATTTGGCGGGGGGATTTGTTCCACACAGGCCTTATGAGGATAGGCTATCCTGTAGTAGTAGTGTGTGTCATCCTTGTTTTCTACCTTCAGTGGCGACAATGGAGGTCTCGCCGCCATATTTTTGCTCATTTTCAATGGGAATCTAGAAGTAAGACACGCCCTCGCCGCCATATTCTTGCTCATTTTCAATATAAATAGGTAGGTACATTAAAATTTCAACAACCCGTAGATTGTAAAGGAAGCATTTGTGGACCTATTTTTATCAGAAATTTTAGTCATATAATAAACCAAAGAATCACCCCCTTCCGTTTGTACATGATATTTAGAAACACCCTGTATATACAATATAGATATTTTGAACTCAAGATTAAAGGGGGTGTAACTCAAAAATGAAAGTTTTAGTACAAAAAAAAGAATAGATATTTAAACCGCATCTTGTTATAATGAACTGTTTTCGAGTTAGGGCGGTAGGGTGTGACGTCACACCGGCTTCGGAGGCATAGTTAAAATACATGAAGTAGCTCAAATTGTTTTTTTTTTACAACAAACCTGAGAAGTAGTCATTTTTCCATCTATTTTTCTAGGGAAAAATTGAATTTCTCTTCCTAGGTTAATAATGAAAAAATACGTAGGTCAATAATGACCATGACGTCATGACGCAAGGATATTGTCACAACGTAACAGGTTGTTATTGGTTCAATTTCAATTTCAAACTGTCAATTCAAAAAAAAGCAGGTTCCTGTATGTACAGGGCGTCCAAATTTGGATGGTTTTAATAGGAAACGTCAATTTCTGTGCGAGACAAAAAAATGAACCCCCCACTCCGAGGCTCAGATTTCTTGAAATTTTGATTGGTGCAAACCGCATTTTGATATCTTCAACCGTTTAGCCGCTAGAGGGCGATTCTCGAATTTGAGCAATACTGTTAAATCTTCATAACTTTTTTGTTTATAAAAATAACTGATTTCCGTAAAAACTTCCTAGGAGCACTTTTTCATGCAGAATTCAGTGACGTTTTCAGTTTTTTTTCTATTGTGCCTCGATTTCAAGATATTGACCAAAATCCGATTTTTTTCAATGGGACACCCTATATATTAATAGCTCTCTTAAATTTCGATAGGTTTATTCGTTTTTATCCATAAGAAACAATGTGTTAAAAAACGTCTTTATAAACTGCTGGACACTCGAACTTTCACATATACAGATTTTTAGACCAAATTCAAAATTCCATATTTTACACACAAATAAAAAAAATTTAATGCGGGGCGGTTTGTGGATTTTAATAGCTTGTTTTTTGCGGATAAAGCTTGACGTAAATTTCTAATAGGACCATAGGGTTACGATATACGAGGCGATAAAATTCAGTTTTGCTTAAAAATTTGTATGTGTAAGTTCAAGTGTCCAGCAGTTTATTTGTAAGGAAAATGAGAAAGGTGTCTTTCTAACTCATTGTTTCTTTATGACAAAAACCAAAATAGTTTTTTTTCTGGAAAACTGTTAGAGATAAACGCATCGAAATTTGTGTCATTGAAATCAGCAAAAGCAGAGCTTTTCAAAGAGCTATTAATATATAGGGTGTCCTATTGAAAAAAATCGGATTTTGGTCAATATTTTTAAACCGAGGCCCAATAGAAAAAAACTGAAAACGTCACTGCTTAAAAAAGTGCTTCCAGGAAGTTTTTACGGAAATCAGTTATTTTCATAAACAAAAAAGTTATGAAGATTTCACAGTATTGCTCAAAATCGTGAATCGCCCTCTAGCGGCTAAACGGTTGAAGATATCAAAATGCGGTTTGCACCAATCAAAATTTCAAGAAACATGGGCCTTGGAGAAGGGGGTTCATTTTTTCATCTTGCTCAGAAATTGACGTTTCCTATATTAAAGGGGCTGTGACCCTAAAAAACGACTTAAGCTACTCAAATCAAGAAAAAAATTCTAAGATCTCTCGTGAAAACCGCAGTCCTGTATTCAGAATAGTCTCCGAGAAAATTCCTTGTGAAGATCAATTATGCAGAAAATTGTCATGTCACAACCGCCGCAATCGCAGTCTTCTGGTCGTTCAGTCGTCAGTGAACCGTACCCTATACTTTGAGTATAGGGTATAATACCTATGAATTCTCAGACGTGTTAAAACTGAACTGAAAATTCAGTGTGACGTCACAAAAGCGTAGTTGTTACTTTAAACCGCCCTAACTCGAAAACGGACCATCGTAGCAAGATGCGGTTTGAATAATTATTCTTAGATTTTTTTGCACTAAAACTTTCATTTTTGGGTCACACCCCCTTTAAAACCATCCAAATTCGGACACCCAGTACATTATAGGAAATTACCATAAACTGTTTATAGAGGGCAGCACTTCCGACAAGAAAAAATAATTTGAGCACAGAAGACTTCAAACCTATTTCGTTTTTTCTACTAGCAGTAGTAAAAAAAAATCTATATATTCCTCGGTAGAGAAAGTCATTATATACCTTACGCATTATAAACCTCGGCATTTCGCACCTCGGTTTATAAAAGCGCTCGGTATTTAATGACCAACTTCTGTACCTAGGTACCTATATAATGTACTATTTTGGGTCAGCGCAACACAAATGAACAAACCTCTTGATAATAGAAATAATCAAAGAACCACATGCAAACATCTTTTAAAGGATAAGAAAGAGTGTAGCTTATATTTTTATTACCACGCATTTTTCAATTAGCATTATTTTTTAAAATTTGGATTCTTTCAGGGAAAAAATGGCCCAAGCCTACGATTTCGCTCTCGACAAAATTGGCATGGACATTCACTCTTTCAGTATCTGGAACGATTATGTAAATTTCCTGAAAGGCGTCGAAGCTGTGGGGTCGTATGCAGAAAACCAAAAAATCGGCGCTGTAAGAAAAGTCTACCAGCGGGGCATTATAACTCCAATGACTGGCATGGAAAGTTTGTGGAAGGATTACATTGTGTTTGAACAGAACATCAACCCCATAATTGCTGAAAAAATGAGCATCGAAAGGAGCAGGGACTATATGAATTCTAGAAGGGTAGCCAAAGAGTTGGAAGTGCAAATAAGAGGGATCAACAGAAATGCTCCTAGTGTACCACCAAATGGAAGCCCTGAAGAAAGGAAACAGGTGGAATTATGGCAGAAATATATTGGATGGGAGAAGAGTAATCCCTTGCGTACAGAAGACACTGCGCTGCATACAAAGAGAGTTATTTTTGCTTTGGAGCAATGTTTGCTTTGTATGGGCCATCATCCAGATATTTGGTATCAAGCTGCGCAATTTTTGGAACTCAGCAGCAAAATTTTGGCAGAGAAAGGGGTAAGAAACCATTTTGAGGTCCTACAGTTACCCAGAGAATGTTTTAATCAATTTTTACATTGTTTTGCAATATAGGTAAAAAAACTGTTACTATGTATTTAGGTATGTAATTACATCTGACTCATCTACTTGTACTGTCTCCCTTAGGACCACTTCTTAAAGGAGAAATAGCTGCTTAATGCAGACATGTATAGTTTATATGAAGTCAATCCAAACAGCATAAAAAATTTGATTGACTGGAAGAGGCCGTTCAGGAATGTGTAGTTGGGTTTGGGCAAGGAAATATTCATACAGGGTTTGGTCATCACAAAATTGGGTCATTTTCATCGGGATGTATTAGTAAATTAGGCAGTCCCGGTACGCGACTCTTTTATTCAGCTGTTCAGATTGACTTCGTATAAAACTTACAAATTTTGCTATTTGTACTTTTGATTCAACTTGAACCAAAATAACGTAGATTTGTGTCTTTAACACAAAATAAAATTTTCATGCCAATCATGCCCTCATAATTTGGACATACAGTTTCTACAACTTCCAAGAAATAACTAAATAAAATGATTCTGAAAATAATGGTGAGAGCTTCCAAAAGTGGACACTTTATAAGCTGAAATTTCTTGAACCAACCTGAAGAAGTGGCAAAACATGCATTTTAATAATTATGTCATGTTAAAATGTCCCATTACTACATAATGTGGGCCCGGGTGTACCTATTTATTTCAAATTTAGATTTTCCTGGAGTTTCTGAATAGTTAATAATTCAACACAAACCCAGTTACAAATTTCAGAAATAACATTATTCAATTCATTATTAATAAATATCTTTTGTTCTTAGGACATAAATGCTTCAAAACTATTCAGCGAAGAAGCGGCACACGTTTTTGAAAGGGCCACCAGTTCGCTTTTAAACCGTAACATGCTCCTGTACTTTGCTTACGCAGACTACGAAGAAGGACGCATGAAATACGAAAAAGTCCATCAAATTTATTCAAAATATTTGGATATCAAAGACATTGATCCTACGCTGGCCTACACTCAATATATGAAGTTTGCCAGAAGAGCTGAAGGCATTAAATCGGCTAGAAGTGTGTTTAAACGGGCCAGAGAAGATCCTAGATCTCAATATCATATTTTTGTTTGTGCGGCTCTGATGGAGTATTATTGTTCGAAGGATAAAAATATTGCATTCAGGTAATTTTGTGATCTTCAAAAGTAAGCATTTTTTTAACTGTGACTTTTATTTTAGGATTTTTGAATTGGGTTTAAAAAAATTTGCCGATATTCCTGAGTATGTCACTTCCTATATTGACTATTTGTCTCACTTGAATGAAGATAACAACACCAGAGTATTGTTTGAAAGAGTCTTATCCTCAGGAAGTCTTGGAAATGAAAAATCTGTCGATATTTGGAATAAATTTTTAGAATTTGAATCTAACATAGGTGATTTGCCTTCCATAGTTAAAGTTGAAAAAAGACGAGCAGAAGTATTATCGAAAATCAAAGAGTTTGAAGGCAAAGAGACTGCCCAACTGGTGGACAGATACAGATTTTTGGATCTGTACCCCTGTACAGCTCAAGAATTGAAAAGTATAGGATATACTGAGGTTATAAACTTTACATCGGGAGTGGCAGGAAGAAATCACTATTTTCAGTCTATAATTAATCAAGAAGTGGAAAGACCGCTACCAAAACCCGATTACGCTCAAATGGTTCCCTATAAGCCCAAGAATAAAGTTTTACCTGGTGAACATCCAGTGCCTGGTAAGAATTTGAACATTGTCCAATAACCAACCAATATATGTGATTTAATTCTATTTTTTAGGTGGATCATTTCCGATGCCTCCAGCAGCTGCCCATCTATGCACATCATTACCACCACCAAATTGTTTCAGAGGTCCCTTTGTACACATTGATATTTTAATGGACATTTTCAACAGACTGCATTTACCAGAGCAAGTTCCTGCCCCCACAGAACACGGAGACGTGAGGCTTTTTGACATTGCCAAATCGGTTCATTGGATTGTGGAAGAAAATGGTGGTTTAGGGGTTAAAAGGCGAAAGAAACTAGGATTAAGTTTGGATGGATCTGATGATGAAGATTTGCATTTGCCTCCAATGAATGATATTTACCGACAGAGGCAACAGAAGAAAGTTAAAAATTAGATTCATATATTATGACTATAATATTGTGGTTTGCTAAGAAGAAAATAATTTGATTATAAAATTTATATAAAAAAAAAACAATTTTATTGTTTTTATAATCTGCACAATTTATTATCTATCCTCTACCACCCTCTTGCTGATTTCCTTTCAAAATATCTTTTAACAGCTTCATCAAAGATTTCCCCAACAGTCCTTTTTTTCCATATATCGATTTTAGGCTTTTTAGGTTTTTCATTGTCATTATTTTTCTCATCTTTTTCTTCATCATCGCCTTTCTTTGCCAGGGCAGCATTATCACTCAAAACATTTCCTTTAGCTGGCAATTGTAATTTTTCACCCTCATTTTCAACTGTTTTATCTTTTTCTGTCTCATCTTTTTTGTCAACAGTTTCTTCATCATCTGAAGAATCATCTACACTAAAATCTGAATCGGCGTCAAGATTTGAAGGCAAGTGGGCTTTTTGAGTTTCAGTTTTTTCACTTTCTGAAACAGATTTTTCATCGTCACTATTGATGTCTTTTCGTGATCTGTATTTACGTCTTTTGCCTCCGGCTGTTTTACCAGTTTTTGTGTCTTCACAACTACTGGATTTCCGTTTTTTTGACGTGGTTGCTTCACTTGTATCTTCTTCTTTGATATCATCTTTCTTTGTTTCTTCATTATCACTGCTAACTTCTTTTTTAATATCATTTTCTTTTTTCTTATCATCAAAATTCACTTTTTGATCATACAGATGTCTGTAGAATCCATCCAAATTACCTTGCTTAGTGACGTCACCAATAGCTTCCAAATATGCTTCACGTTTTTCTTGTTCTTCTAAAACTTTGAATTCTTCCAGTTTCTTTTTGTAGGCTGATGTTACAAAGGATTCTTTGTCTTTAAATTCTTCGCCTGAAAACAAATTATTCAAAAAAAAGCTGAATTAAGGAAATTAATGAGTTTTACCTTCTTCTTCTCTTTCCTTTTGCACCTGTCTCTCAACTCTTCTCTCATGTTCACGTTTCCTTCTTTCAGCAGCTTGTAAAAGTTTGCTGATATATTTTGGTTTCTTGTCAATATCTTTCCTTGCCAATTTCGATTCCTTCTTTTTGGTTTCCATTGCATCATAAACTTCATCGTATTGGTAAACTGTTGGATCTTCCTCTAGAGCCTGAAAGTGTCAATTCGCAAAATGTTTTGTGAGCATTATTATTAGGAAACTGGCTTACTTTTTGTTGATTTATAATATCTTGTTTTTTCACTTTGGTGCTGCCAGTGGGTTTGAAAGATTTGGGCGAGTCGGAATCTGAGTCTTCATCGAAAATTGAAGGTCTGCTTATTGGTATTGGCCCTGTAGCCTTTTTATTTGGTTTAATTAAGCCATATCTGGAAATTAACACAAAATTTGTTGAATTATGGATAATAGGAAATTCAATATTTCGGTTTTTGAGGCCTCGAGTATGTTTCAGCGATTGTTTTTTACTCGAGTACTTACTGTTTAGCCATGCTTCTCAGTTTATTATTAACAAATGACGGCAAATTGTTGCAATAAATATAGAAATACGAATACAAATTACAAATTGTTTAAATAAGTAAATAAAAACATATACCCAAATTTGTAGGTTAGGTACGTAGTAGTAAGTAGTGACAAGTGACACATAATAGCGAATTCTTTTGGTAAAATGTACTGCACGAGGCGTTTCCGATTGGTAGATTCAGTGCGGACTGAGTGTATTTGCATCCTTTTATTCGACCTGTAGAAGAAAAAGACAGGAATAGAAAAAATTGCACTAGTTCTGCACTAGATCTACCAATCGGAAACGCCAATAGATAGGTTAAGTGCAATCCGAAACGATCATAACTTGTTGTTCGACCTGCCGCGTCCTCATAAGTATTTTGGTCATCTCCACCCATTTTCAACATTTAATAGATTATCGACTTTTTCTGCCATTGCCGCTGTTCAATAAGGATAATACGCAATACTAATACTAACTACAGGATTGCTTATCGGCCTCGTTTTTGATAATCGCGATCATATGCTGTAGCACCATTTCCGGCGTCATTAACAAACCGTGCGTTCGGTATTTTGATCTGAGTTCTCCGAGCTTGAATTTACCGTTCATCACGTTCGTTTATTTAAAAACTGTACTCGGTGGAGCTTCATTCGCGTTTGTTTATTAAAATTTCTGAAACTCTGATACAAGGCGTGCCCGTTTATTCGATCTGTGCACACCGTTTGCTCGAAATTGCTAAATGCCGTTCGTTTATTCTAATTTTCGCGTTCGTAAATATGTCGAGAGAGCGTATCGAGTTCGCCCATTTCGCTCCGTACTTCATAACCTCTAACTAATCTGCCAAAAAAAAAAAAAAAATATTTTTCTGATTTTTTTTGCTAAAAGATGAAATGAGTTGAGGGGCCCACAAGAAAAAAAAACAGACAAAGTGGGGTCCGAAAACAGCATAGTTTGACAAATATTTGACCCTAAAAATCATACGAGAGCTAATAGGTCTGTTTCTGCAGAAATCACAAACCAACTAGAGTGAATTTTGATTGAAACTGTTTTCTGACAGTTTCTGACTGTTTTCAACCAATGAAATTCGCTCGGACTGGTTTGTGATTTTTGCAGAAACGGACGTTAAGGCGTTTTCTCGCATCTCAAATGTTTCAAAACATTTTTGAAAACTGGTTTAAGTAATGTCACCATGACGTCATAATTTCTCGGCACGAGAAAATGGTTTGAAAACTTGGATTGGATTGTATTTCGAAACGGTTTGAACCAATTTTGACGTGACGTCATGGGTTTATCGCGAGAATGTACTGTTTCAAAACAGTTTTGAGCCAGTTTCAAAAAAGTGGACGCGAGAAAACGCCTCTAATATGATGATGGTCCCAGTCAAGGAGAATACTCACTCTGAGGAGTGCTTATCGGCCTCGTATTTGGTAATCGCCGCCATATTAGTTTTCAACTGTTTTCAACCATTGCCGACGTCATAACTATGTCGTCAGCTATTTAAACAGCCTACGTCAAGGCGAGAAACGCCATGCTGCTTACGTCACAACTGGTTGTTTGGCTTAGAGGTGAAGAGGGGGATTTGTTACACACAGGCCTTATGAGGATAAGCCATCCTGTAGTAGTAGTGTGTTTCATCCCAGTTAGGTACTTTTGGTGACGATGGTACCTATTTACATTACAATTATTAAGAATTTGTTGTTGAGGGTATAAGAATTATCCTATTTCTATTTTTGTTTTTTATATTGTTCAAGTAGGCTTGAGCACAAGCGCTGCTTTGTGGCAAATTCATTAGTTCAGTTTATTACATTGAAAACAAAGAAACGAACAACACCGGTCATTTGCGGCGTTCTCCATGTCTTAAAAATCGAACCAAAAGTTTCCAGAACCGTTACAGGAGAAAATCTGATTTTACAGATTGGGGCAGTTTACTATTATTTCACGAAATTCAAGGCATATTGCCCTTTGCATTTTTTTTTATCTAACAAGTTAATCCTGCCACAAAACCCAGATCTCTGGATCTTGTAATCCAAAGTTAAAATTTTCGCGAAAATTCGGTTGCGTCACACACTCACAAAAACTAAACAACTTTAAACTAACAAAAACAAAATAGTTATTTTCCTACGACCACATACGAAAATCACAAAATTCGCACTAGTTGGTTCTTCGGAAAGTGCTAAATATTACACGCGTGCTGAAAGTACTTTCAATACGCGTGCTAAAAGTACTTTCAGCACACTTGTGAAAAATACTGTTGACATTATTTGTGATTGACATAAGAATTCACTTTCAATACGTGGATTGAAAGTACTTTCAGCACGTGTGTTGAAAATGAAAAGAAATAAAATAAGAGAAAATTGATGTAAATCGGTTTCTGGTAGTAGGAAAAATGGTGTACATCACTCGTAAGAAAGCTTCTTTCATACACTCGTGTGAGCTTTCTCACTTTCTACACTCGTAATGTAATATATGTACTATTACCTAACACGTGTGAATAAGTGCATAGGCGCCGGAACTTCAAAATTACTATGGGGGCTCGGGCTCCAAAAAAAAAAACACAAGTAAAATTATTATACAGACAGGACCAGTAGGCTACTAAACATATAGGCTTAAATGGGACCAGTTGACTGATACATATTTTACTGCAGGATCGCCACACTGGATCATTGATCCACTTTGCATATTATTGAAATTCGTGAATCTACGGAAGCTCGGCAGTTCTCGGCTTTTGCAGCACCGCTTCGATTCGCCTTAACCGAGTTGAAGCTTATTCGTCTTATTACTTAAAAATGTGTCTAGTGGAATGATCGGGCCTATATATAAATTTTCCATTATATACTAGGTAAAATAAGCCAGTGTAGGCATTTATGATCAAAAGGGAGTGAACTCTGCACCTACGGAAAGGTTCCGTTTGTTCCATTGATTGTGTGCCTGCCGTATGTATAAAGCCTAGTACTCATAACTGCGAAATTCGCATTTTTTTGACATTGCGTTGATAATTTGACGTTCCATGCGTGTATCAAACGTCAAATTGTCGAATGAATGTCAAAAAAATGCGAATTTCGCAGTTATGAGTACTAGGCTTTACGCTGGAAAATTATGGTAGGTCTCCAATTGGGTGGTTACACACGGACGTAGATGTCTTAATACATATACGTGCATACATCAACGTGCAAACAACAACGTGCATGGCGCTTTTGTACAGACGCTCGCACAAAACTGCAGTCTTGCTATTTTTGCTACAGTGTTCCGAGTGTGCATACAAAATTGCACATTCAAAAACGCGACGGTATTTTGCATACACTTGAGGCGGTTACACACGGACGTGGATGTCTGAAAACATGTACGCACATACATGAACGTGCAAACAAAAACATCAATGGGCGGTTACACACCGACATGGATGTCTTAAATACATATACGTGCATACATCAACGTGCAAACAACAACGTGCATGGCGCTTTTGTACAGACGCTCGCACAAAACTGCAGTCTTGCTATTCTTGCTACATTATTCCGAGTGTGCATACAAAATTGCACATTCAAAAACGCGACGGTATTTTGCATACACATTGATGTTTTTGTTTGCGCGTTCATGTATGTGCGTTCATGTTTTCAGACATCCACGTCCGTGTGTAACCGCCTATTGTGCATATAATATGTGCATTTACGTTTGATAGGTGATAGATATATTCGAAAAACCGTTTTCACGTTTGTAGAGGATTTACGCTTCCGAGAATCTCCGCTTCGAGGTTTGGTAAGCGTAGCGAGCAATCGAGAACTCAAAAATAATTTCAGTCCTAAAAAGGTGTGTGCAGAAGGATTTTCAATAGGTTGCCGTCTAGAATAAAGCAGATTCCAAACATCAAAGTTTAACGCTCAAACTAGAGAAGAGTTAGGTACCGGGTGTCAAGTAAGAAAGTACCACCCCTTGTAACTGTTTCATGTACGATCGAAAATAAATAAGTTACAGGGGATGTTACTTAATAACTTCACACCCTGTACTAATAACCGCTTATTACTCAGTGGGTGAATTTCCTAATGACAATTCTACAAACAAAATTTTATTAACGCATTTAGCTAGCGAGAGCTGACTGGTAAGATATACGGTTTAACACCTTCCAGTAGGCACTTGATCAATTGATGAAAAAGGACGTACCACTAGGCCCTCAATCGGTGACTGAACAAAGGACCTACTGGTAGGCGTACGATCGTTGGATGACAAAGAGGACTTACCGGTAGACGTAGGGTTCACTCCCTATTTATATAAATGTGATGTAAACATATCATGAAAAAAAAAACAAAAAGAATATAATAATTCCAATCCTACTTTTTGAAAATACAGCTTTAAATACTACACAAAACATTCAAATTCTTCGTTAAAGTAGGTAATTAGGAGTTTAATATTTTTGTACCCACCCACTAAACTCACTACATACAAATCACTATGGGGGCTCTGCCCCCATAGCAAATTCACTATGGGGGCTCAAGCTCCCATTGCCCCCATGGTTCCGGCGCCTATGAATAAGTGGATAGTTATACATTTCCGCACGCAACGAGACGCGCCAGCGGAGTTCGTGCAAGCTGTAAGTGCGGAAAATACTTTACGCTCGTGTTAGGTACAACATTTTTCCTACGAGCCTGCGGAAATTGTTTGCTTTTTGCTCTACTAATAAAGGAAATGGTAAAAAATTTGAATTTTTAATTAAGTTTGATAACGCAATAAATTTAATAACAGAACATTAACAATTATTTCTATTACATATATGAGTAGAATTAATTATTTATGGTATAAAACTTGTTAAAGATGTCGATATTGGTCAGTATAAAAAGTTGATAGCTTGCCTAAGGGAAAAAAAGATAGAGGAATTTCGAAAAAATCTAGAATTTTTGAGAGAAAAATTGAAAAAAAAAAAACAGTACGTGAAAAACTTTTTTTGCTCACAGCGTGCGTGAAAAACTTTTCGTGCATGCCGTGCGGTAAATTTTATCTCACGCACGCTGTGCGGAAAAGTGGTACTTTCCGCACGCACGAAGGAAATCAATTTTACTTTTATACTAGGTTAGTAGGTTCAGAATTTTTTTAAATTGGCGCTCGCTGTAAACCAACCCCAAGAACATTCTAAAATAGT